CAACCACCAACCAGAATAATAAGAGATCATAGTGGTTGAGCAGAGAGTACCCCCAAGAATTGCTTCAAAGCTCCCCAGACTGAGTGCCAGCTCTTATGAGGACCAACATGGACCAACGGACTGATGACTCAAGGGCTCGACCCACCATGGAAATCAAACCCCACCATGTCATAATGTTGGTTTAAAGCGGGATTGAAAGCAGCAGTTACAGATGATCCTTCCTACCATCTACCAACTATATATGGACATATGTACATACAGTATACATATATATATATAATTATATATATATATATATATCATGATATATGGATATATATATATATATATATCATGATATATCCAAGTATGTCGAACATTTTTGCAGTTCCACTGATCAGGGCGGTCAAGGCCTTTGGCCCTGCTGGTGCGAAGCGACCAGCACTGAAGCGCCGTGCGCTCAAGCGCCGTTTTTGTATGCGAAGTTTTGATGGGGATAAGCGAAAGTTTCAGGGTGGTCAAGTCGTTTTTTTTGGGGCATTTGCACCTATCAAACATATGGATTTAAGGAACAAAAATGAGGAGGGAGAGCTCTGGTTTCATCAACACATACTTCTTTGATTTACACCTCATCCTGGGTTGGATCGGTTTACTGAATGTTTATGGTCTCAAACGGATATTTGTGGTTTCCATCCGTAGCTGGGATGGTTACACCCAAGTGACATGTATTGGAAACACCAGTGTGGAATTGTAGACAGGTTCTAGAGATGATGCGGTGGTTTCCGTTGTGTGTACTGGAGCTTCTAAAGGTAGTTTCTAGGCTTTCTACCGTCCCTTGAAGTCTGAAAACAAGGATGACCAAGGGACGACTTTGATCTTGATTTGGTGGAATTTATCATTCATTTTTTGGGGACCCTGATTTTGGTCCATTTATTAGAGAGATAACATAGATGCATATACATATGTATATATATATATATTTGTATGTGTATATGTACATGTATATCTATATGTATATGTATATGTGTATGTATATGTATATGCATATGTATATGTATATGCATATGTATATGTATATGTATATGTATATGTATTAGTATATGTATATGTATATGTATATGTATATGTATATGTATATGTCCTATTCCTTTAATCCTTTTTGACCATCCTTGACCCCCTGGAAAAGCGCCAAACCACAATTCGGATAGGCGGATACCTCAACGTGCAACAGATGCACCAGCGCCATCCAACTTACAGTCGTTGATTCTGTCTGGGTTTCTGGCAAGTGGATGCCCGATAGTTGGAGGTATTTCCTGACCAAGAAAGGCAGGTTTCTATAATTTGTATATACATAGTTTTACTGGGTAAACCTTCGATGGAGAGTTTAGTACTTTACTGGTTGGTGGTTTGGAACATGTTTTATTTTCCATAATAAATTGATATAAATGGATTGTCATCCTTCCCATTGACGAAGTCCATCATTTTTCAAGATGGTTATTGCACCACCAACCTTCGATTGTTTTGATTTGCAACGGCCATCAGTTCAGATCCGTTGACTCAGAGAGTCTTAAGGGGAGTCGTTAGCAAATTGTTGGGTGGATGTACGGTGGCTTAACTTGCACAACAAAACATATCTTGAAATATCTTGAAATCATTTGAAATCATTGTAGTCTTTTCAGGCCTTTTTCTTTTCTATGATTTTATGCTCCATTTGATGAGTAAACAAAATGCATTAAAATACCTGGGCCGATGATGGCCGATGTCAGAATCAACGCAGCCTTCCGCTCTCACCTAGCCGTGCCGTCGCCATGCAAAACGCGAAGCGTGAAATGTCGCCATGGCACCAGAGGGTTTGAAGCGGAAGCCCCAACTGGACATTTCACTGCTGACACTGAATGCCAACATACATCAAAATACGAAATGTGCATCAATAGTCCGAGAACGTCCCGGTTGGTTTTTGTTGCCTAAAATTGACTCTTGATTTTTCTTGATGTCAACCATCTTCCAAGTTGCTTACTTTCCCAGTCACGTTTTTGTTCTTAACGGATTTGAGGAAAAGGAAGATCATGACACCTCAACAAACATGTTTCAAGAGAATGACACATCAACAAGCAAACACATTCATTTTGGATTAACGTGAATTAACTTCGTGCATCCAGCAGGTTCTATCAGCCTTCGGTTGCGCCTCAAGCTGACTCAGTGTCACCAGATGTGTCTAGTTTTCTGGAGACTCGTACAGCGCGTACAGATGAATTTTGCGTGTGTAATCACACTGGCCGTTGATGGTAGCTCTCGACAAAGAAATGTTTGAGACTCTCATGGCTGTTGATGGTTTTCTTGTCCCAGAGATGGATCAACCCCTTGTTTGGACAATCACCTGCAGCTTTCAACCAATATTAGTTGATACACTTGGGCCATACCCCCATTTTGGCTGGTTAAATCCAAGTTATTGGTGGTTAAACCCACTGTTCACGAAAGGTAGCTCCAGAGGGGCTACCTTGAGTTTTACTTTACGAAGTAAAGGGGAGGGCGGCCAGCCCCGTTACCTGATTCTTCAGGAGATTGCTAGTCATTTTAGTACCCCCCCCCCCTCCACACCTCCCACGCACCCTAAGAGCAGACTCAAAACATTGTAATTTACAGTATTTTTGTTCTTTTCGGATCAAGAAACCACATTTTGCTACATGTGAAACCTCCGTAAATACCAGTGTTTTTGCTAGGTGCTGGCCAAAAAACACTGTAAATACCGTGCTTTTTACTACCAGAGGCAAAAAACATCGTAAATACTGTGGTTTTGGGCTTCCGACCCGCCAAAAACATCGGTATTTACGGTGTTTTTTGCTCCGAGAGTTGCAAAATCACGCGAAAACACCACCGATTTGACGATTTTCGGCCACTACGGAACCGAGCAAAAACGCTGCAGGGGTAACACCAACACCAACAACAACAACACCAACAGCAACAGCAACAGCAACAACAACAACAACGACGACAACAACAACAACAACACCAACACACAACGCACAATGCACAACGCACAACGCACAATGCACAATGCACAACGCACAACGCACAACGCACAACGCACAACGCACAACACACAAAACACACAACACACACACAACACACACAACACACACAACACACACAACAACACACAACAACAACACACAACAACACACACACAACCACACACAACAACACACACACACACAACAACAACACACAACAACACACCACAACACACAACAACACACAACAACACACGCAACACACAACAACACAACAACGCAACAACAACACACAACAACACACAACAACACACAACAACACACAACAACACAACAACACACAACAGCACACAACAACACACAACAACACACAACAACACACAACAACACACAACAACACACAACAACACACAACAACACACAACAACACACAACAACACACAACAACACAAAAACACACAACAACACACAACAACACACAACAACACACAACAACACACAACAACACACAACAACACACAACAACACACAACAACACACAACACCACACAACAACACACAACAACACACAACAACACACAACAACACACAACAACACACAACAACACACAACAACACACAACAACACACAACAACACACAACAACACACAACAACACACAACAACACACAACAACACACAACCACACAACAACACACAACAACACACAACAACACACAACAACACACAACAACACACAACAACACACAACAACACACAACAACACACAACAACACACAACAACACAACAACAACAACAACAACAACACGAACACAAACAATACCAACACCAACAACACGACCAACAACACCAACACCACCAACAAACCCAACCACACCAACAACACTAACAACACTAACAACACCAGAAACACTACCACCACCAACAACACCAACACCACCAGCACCACCAACACCACCAACACCACAACCACCACCAACCCCAACCACATCGCCGAAGCCTTTCAGTCGCTTTTAGCAGACTCCCCTTCATATTTTTGGAAAGAAAATGGCCGCGTCGCTTTTACCAGACTCCACTTTATGTATTTTTCCCTCCCCTCTCCCCTTTATTTTTTCTTCGGTTCCTTTCTTGCTTACCTACCTTTCGTGTTCCCCCTCTCAAGTTTGGGTAGTCAAATCAACTTTTTTGGTGGTTCAATCACGTTGAAACCACTTGTCTTGGCGCGGTCCAATTACTTAATAAATGCTGTTTGATGATTCACCATGGTTACAGTCACACAATCCTTGGAAAAGGACCCCAAGGACCAATGGTATATCATCTGGTTGGTGCTTTCAACCTGTCCCATAACCAACATATAATGCATATGTATGAGCATCGTTATCGTTTTTTTACTCTTATCGTTTTCCGGGCCGGCAATGCATTGGCAGTGTTAAGGTGCAAAATGATGTGGATTGGGGACGGGAAAGATCCATCTCTGGGGCTGGTTGGCTACAAGTCACCTTGACTTGAGCTGGACCCGGGGCAGAAATTATATGGCCTTCATGGGCCAATGAAACTTTAATTATGGGCGGCACTGCTGCCTTCGTTCTCAAAACGAAGCCTGCGGGCAGTCCAGAGCAGCAAACTTTGGGTCCGGCTCGCGGTGGGGGGGGGGGCAGGGCGTGACAAGAAAACGGGAGATCTTGGAGTCATTGGAGTCTCTTTTTTCAGTATTTTTTCTGTTTGCTCCCAGAGGGTTCCGAGCCAAGCACAATGATGGCGTTTGTCTCAGTTGTTCACTGTTCAATATAATGTTCACAACATTTTTACAATCTCTAATCCCGTTCACCCTTCATGATGTTTTTCGGGTTGAGTTGAATCTGTCACGTTTCATCACGATGCTTGCATTGTTTGTGGTCATGTTCACTTCTGGACTGCAGAAATGTCCAAACTCGACCAAGATCTTTGGTGGCCATGGCAACCCAAACTGGAGTACCAATGGACAGAACTCACATGTTTTTTCAGCATTTTTGGCTCCAGCCACTCGCTTCTGGGCTGCCTGACATCTGCGGCATGCCCGCCCCACCGGGGCCAACTGCCATGGCCATGGCAAGTGAAGCAGAAGGCAACGCAGGCAACGTCAAGGACATGTGGGCTGGGATGGGCTGGGTAAATTTTGGCAGGGTAATGTCTGGTTATAACTATACAGAACTCTATATATATATAGTTATACAAATTATTTATATATGTATATATTAAATATGGTTTATGGCAGATAAAATCCATAGTTAGTGGGAAAATGGGGTTTAAAAAAACCAACTTACAATTGGGGGGCACCACCTTGTATGTAGGACATTTACTCCGTGACACCCCATGGATACTTCAGAATTGGGACGATGTACCGACATGAATATCTTTTGGAAACCTCTTCTTTCCAGGGGGTTCCATGTTGGACAACTACTGTATTTCTTTGCTATCATCAGTGATGAAATGGTGAAACATCTGGTCCAAGTCTGAGCCAATCGGTCCCCCTCCCCTTAGCAATGTGACTCTCCGGCAAGTTTTTTGGGCCACACCAGGTCCTCCAGGTCCTCCAGGTCCTCCAGGTCCTCCAGGTCCTCCAGGTCCTGTGGGATTCCCAATTTGTTGTTGCTCAACTGTCACCCCACGTCCTGGACACCAGGATCGTCCTGATGTACTCAGTGGCAGCACCACGGACGACGAGAACTTGGACTCGGAGGACGCGGCGTCGGCCGCGGAGGATGCCGAGGGGTCGGCGTCCGACGCGGAGGGGCAGGAACAGGGTGACCTGGCGAAGTGGATTGGTGCCAGGTGGTAGAGAACAGGCAATTGAGGGAAAAAAAGGAAGATCTGGGCAAGCTATAACAAATCTATCATTTGGCAATGGCTTATAAATCTTATAATGTCAACCCCGGATTAATAAACCATGGTTTATTAAGTGGGGGGTACTCTGGTTTATGTGAACAGAAACCATGACTGGGGGTCATTTTACATCATCATCCCACTAGGGGTCTACCCAATTTCACAAACCTCAAACTTGGGGATGGTTTTTAGCATTGGGTCTACCACATTAAAATAAAACAAAAAACCAAATTTGATGATTTGTTTCTGTTGTTTATTTTTTAGGTTTACATACCCGGTTTACCACTAAACTTTCTGCTGGAGTGAAGGGTTCTGCTGTCGAGAGGGATTTACATAGACTTCCAGAGATGCACAAATAAAAGTTTATCTAGTTTATATTGATTTGGAGGTCTCATCGTAAAAGGGCACTCCAAAACATGTTCCTGGACATATAGTAATATAGTTAATATAGTAAATCGACAGCTTGAGATGTTGGTGCGCTACTCGTAAGAATAATCATAGTGAATCATAGTGAATCATAGTGAATCATAGTGAATCATAGTGACTCCTGGCTCCATCTCTTTAGGCCACAGTGACAACAGCACTTCAAGGTGACACTGGCTCAAAAATTCTCGAAAGCCCAACGTCGACGGGTTACCCTTCGAAAATGACGGAATTTCATGGAATTTCCATGAATTTCCACATTTCTGGGTGCATTTCCATCCATATCTCAGCCCAGGTGCCGCCTCGCAGTCCGAGTCCCAGCAGTGCAGCTACCGCAGCCCCAGCCGTAGCGCGGCCTCGCGCAGTCGCTCGCGGAGGCCGCTGCGACGGAGGCAGCTGTGTTGGTTTGGCCGCAGCTGTAAGAGGAGAGACTGCTATTTCCTCCATCCGGAAGGCCGGGCGACTTCAGAAAGGGCGGTTTTTTTTTCCAATATTCCTAGTGAAAATTGGGGTGCATGGGCTGGGTGAGAAGGAAACTCTGTCTTGAGGAAAGTCTCTCTCTCTCTCTCTCTCTCCGACTTTCATCCGACTTGATGAACATATATAGATAATATTAAATAATGGTATTATTATTGTAGATGAAAATAGACGAAATAAGTCAACCGAGTACCTGGATGTTTGCTCAACTTGCTGCAGGGAAAGAATCTCAAGCTCCCCAGACCCCGCGCCGTCGCCGCTTCGAAAAGCCGGGCCATCGGCGCCGCAGCTGGCGGCGCAACGCCAAGGGCGAGCCCTGGCAGCACGACCAGCGCGGGCGCGAGGGGTCGGAAGCGGCCACGCCGCCAAAGCATCGCAAGAGGAGTGAGGCGTGGGATGTGGGAATGGGATGAATTAAAGTCGCTAAAATCCTGTCAAAACAATGTCTAATTACTTGATTCCTCTCTTTCTTTAGGGTTAATATTGATAATATTGTATATGTGATGTGCATGTTGTATTATGTTGGGAATATCTGGCCACTGGCCATTGGTCCTTTTTATACCCATAGAAATGGGTCAAACCACCAAACAGTTCCAATCACACTTTGGGGTAAACTCTCATTTTAGTCTTTGTTTCTGTGACAAATGACGCTCTAGGTATGCTTAGATTGCTTACAGAAAGCCAATCAAAGCATATTAAAACATAAAAATCCTTCAAGAACCACTTTTTTCTTAAACACCTTCGAAACCTTGGAAAGACTTTGGACACCTGCTTTTCTTCACCAGGTTGCCATCCCAGATGACACCAAGCCGCCCACCGAGCCGCTGAATTTCCGGGACTTTGTAGTGCAGATGCCCGAGGGAACGCCGCCGGATGTGGCTCTGGAGGCATGGTCAACCAGGGTCCACCAGGTTACCCCAAGAAACGGAGAGATTTCATGGGACTTAATGATCTTAATGGCTGGTTGGTGGTTTAGTATGGGATAACGATGGTTAATGATGGTTAATGATGGTTAATAATGGTTAATAATCACTGGTTGGTGGTTTGGCACCATGGAATTTTATGACTTTCCCATCATATTGGGAATGTCATCGGGCCCCAACTGACTCATATTTTCAGAGGGGTAGGTCAACCACCAATTATCTTCATGGGATTTTAATGGGATAAGCGGTTATGATATAACCAACAAACATGGTGCTTGTGGCTATGTGCTAAGACTGGGATGAATTTAACACGGGGAATTCACCGGCAAGGAAAGCAGCCTCCGTTTGAAACGTTTGAAAGAATATCACTATGGAATTCCAAGGTAGTTATGTCATTTTTCGGACATGGTTTCGAAAAATGGTGGATTTTCCATATCTATATTAGTTTACTGGAGGGTAACTATGGTAACTAGTTTGTGGTTTCAAATATGTCATATCTTTGGGTGTGAATTTTCATGATTGATCCCCCCATGACAAGCATATTCAACCAAGGGGGACTGAAACCGATTGGAACCAACGACCAGTCACGGATGCTTATGGTGATATCAGTGCTTAAGTTTGAAATGTCAAGTTGGATGGAATCTACGTGATTACCTCCATGAGATTTTAGGGTACCATATTTTCAGACAAACCCATTGGTTTAAACCCAGTCAGTGTGGAATTATGAGATGATTGGGATGATAGTTGGAATGATGATTGGGACTTTTTTTCTAGAATGACGGGATGATTATGGGATGGTTTTTTGGGGATCGTTTTTTTGGGTCATTATTGAAATGATTAGAAATGGATTACAATCTGATGAACCATCCCAGTAACCAAGATTAACCAAGCCTCTGTAGTTGTCATTAAAAACATCATCAAGCAATATATGGGCACGCCACTTCTCATCAACCCCTCTGGAAGGCTGAAATGTTATTACATGTTATTACTATTACATCTATTACTAGGTTTACCGAAAATTTCCAGCGATTGGCATTTCCATCATGGATCTTGGGGAGTCTTTAAAAGCCAGGGATAGGTCAAAACATCAGGTCAAAACATCAGGATCCAGATCCAGCAAGGAATCAATTTGAGTCTAAGCCCAAGTCGATGTCAGTATTAAAGTGTCTTAAAGCATCAGATTTGGGGTATCAACATGTATCAACTCATTTTTCCTCATAGCCAAGCGATGCCTTAAATGGGTATTTCATGGTATTTCATCCCCTATGAAACCACGGTTTCGTGGAAGGGGGTGCTGCAAAATTGGCGCGGATGCCGTGGTCGGCTCCGCGGAGGCTTTCCAGAAGTACTTACGCGAGGCGTCCCAGAAGGACTTGGAGAAGGTGAAGGACACGGGATTCTTCTTTGACAGGCGGGACATGTGTCATGGGTCATTAAATGTCCCCATTGAACATCACCCAACCATGAATGGTATATGGTCTATAATGGCTACTATAAGGTGATGTCCAATATACCCAAAATGGGAGAGTTACCAACCCCTGTGTGTGGCATGGATGTCTACTGAAAGGGGGCTATAGGGGGCTAGCGACTGGATGTGAGCATTTTTCATATTTGTCTGTTTTGCTTCTTGATGCTTGTCTCGACAAACTCAGTAACTGAAGATCACCCAACTGCAGTATATACTTCGTCGATGCCTTTCTCATCCTACAATTCTCGATTTAAATTTGGTTCCGCCAATCATCATGTCGTTTGTTTTTTGAATCTTTCTGACGTTTGATCCGTTTTTGGGGGGTTTCAGATGGTTTCAGCAGCTTGCCCATAGATGACCCACGTTTGAAATACCCCCTCAGAAAGCTGCTTCAGTACTGGATCGATTATATCACCCCGTGGCCAGGTATGACCCCGTGGCACGTTTGCGAGCCTATGACTTGCGGCTGCATGAAGCGCGTTTGAACGCTTCCGTCTTCGTGACGGATCTCTGCGAGGGCAGGTGGGGAATGGTGGGGAAAAGATATGGACAGATGGGGCAAGTTCCCCCAAACTACCTGGGGGCCGCCTTTGGGAAATGCAAGTGGCACCAGTGGCACATCAGCATATTATGAGCCAGCATCAGCCAGTTCTGAACAGGTTCTTTTTCTGCTTCTGTATGGGTTATTTTTACCGCTTGCTCAATGGGATGAAATGAAGAGAAAATGCCATGTGGATGCCACGTTGCACGAGTTTTTCAGGATATTAACTGATAGATATTACTGATCATTCTTATCTTTCCGGATCTCCAACTGTTTTCCATCTATTGGGCTCGCTTCATCCATATGCAGAATGACACGTTTTCTTTTTTTTGGGGGGGAGGAGCTTAAGCTCAGGGTGTCAGGTTGCTTAAAGTCCATCTCCAATGGTGTGAATCTGCAAATAAAACAATGGTCAAGATTGGGAGCCTCAAACTTGCACCCTTCCCAGGATTTTCCACCTAGAATTTTGGGCAGGTTACATCCATCATCATCCATCCATTATATTATAATGTATTATATGTTATTCTGTGTTGGAAATCATTCGGCCAGATATCTAGTCCGTACAATTCAATGGGACATTGCCTATGTTTTTCATGATGTTCATCCGGAATCATCGGAAACCCTCCTGGTTTTTTTCAGGGGAAAGTTTCGCATTTTTTGGACAGCTCCTCGCTCGTTCCTCACCTCACCCTGGTGCAGGTTTGACGGGTTGAATCTCAGCACCACCGAGCGACCCAACATGGAAGGCCGATGTTCCGTCAGTGCCTTGGGTAACTGCCATGGGATGGGATGGGGTACTACTTTTGGCTCACGATGATCGAGTATCCACCAGTTCAGCATGAGAGAAAACGGGGATGGGGAAACATTTTTTTCGAATATTTAAGAGCCTGGGTGCAGATTGGCAAAAGACTACTATTAAACCATCCCATTTTTGACCCATACCACGACGCTGGGATGGCAATTGATTAGTAGTTCATCGGTTTAGCGTTGACACCCATTCCCAAAGATCGTAGTGGTTATTTTGTTAGTGGCAGTGACGATTCTGAATTTCCTTCAAAAACATATGCATTATATATTATATTATATTTTATTTTATTATATTTATGATATATATATACTATTATTATTATTTTTATATAATATATATAAAAATATTATTATTATTATTAATTATTATTATTATTGTTATTATTATTATTATTATTATTTTTCTTTTATGATATATATATAATATCATATCACATATCCATTTGTCTTCACCTTTCAGGAAGATAAATTGAAACTCTTATCATCCTATCGTATTGGAGGGGTCCAAGTTGGGATCTACAGATTCCCCTATGATATCCTATAATTATCCATTTAGTGTTGTTATATAATATGAATATAGGTTATCTATTATCCATATGGTTATATGTATATATATAATATGAATGATTATAAGTGGATCATGAATCATAAGTGTTATCCTATAATTGTATGGTTATAATATATATATATATATCAACTTGAGGATAGTGGAATTGTAGCAATTGTACCTCCCCATTCAATACACCAAAAATCCAAGGTGGCCATTTGCAAGCGCCAGAGTTTGCCTTCGACCCTGACATGGGCGCGCTGCTGATCGAGGATCTGCCAAAGCACCTGAGCGCTTGGGAGGTCTACGAAAGCCTGCAGGACGTAACGGGATTGGATTCTGCAAGGGAAGCGAAAGAAGTTCAATAAGTAACTGGCAACTGGGGTAAAATATGGTAACACCTTGGGTAGTTTGGTACTCTTTTTTGTCTAATATACTTGCATCTGATATATTTTTCAAATAGAAGGGAATATGATGACTATCAATATTATCAATGACTAACCAGCTGAAAGCGTCCCTTCTGCAATTGCAGTGTATCTAAGATCGGCCATGATAACACGTTTCCTGCTACTCTCCGGCAAATTCATTCATATGACATTGATGAGTTTCCTATTTGGAACATGATCCACGAATGTTTTTTTTTTCCATATCTATGTTAGTTTGCTCAGGGTAAATAGATGGGCGAAACATACTTTCTGGCAATCAAACATGGCCATTGGGTAATCACCATATTTAATATATAGGCAAATCATCCAACTATACATGGACCCCAAAAAACATAGCTATGCTAAATTTTTGAAGCCACTGAACCAAGTGCTCCCATCAAAACGACCAACTTCCCGGTAATGGAGAAATGCAACTTGATGTGCCCCCCCACCTCCATTATTTTCCACCATGTTTCCCATCTACTTTATACTGTCAAGTTGATTTCAGGTGTTTCCACCCAACAAGTTTGATTCTTCTCCACATGTTCTTTTCTCTGAATGCCAGGGGTCTTGATGGTCTTGCTTCCATTTGTTTCTTTCCCTGGAAAAGGAATGGTAACCGTAGGGAGAAAGGCGGTGCTTTCTTTGTTGGTGATACAATTGAATTATAAGATGGCATTCGGGGGAAAACATTGGTGAAAATTGATCAAAAAGGATGGATTTTAGCAGGAAGATGTTTTAGCGTGTGAAATGAGAACGAGTGAACATGTTTTGGGAGGAAACATCGATCAGCGTATTGGACACTTTGGGGTGGACATGTTTGGGAAAAAATCAATTTCAATCGAATGAAAATAAGAATGCAGTAGTTGGAACAAATCAAGAACGTTGCTGGGTTTATGGATGAGTTTCATCAAACACATGTTTTCCCATGTTTTCCCACCAAAACAACATGTACCTACCATGGGGACTCAAGCAACCTCCAGGCGACGCCTAGCCCTGACAGGTGGCGTGAACAAAAACATCCCCGTTTTAAACTAATTGGCAACTATACACAGTAAACATATTTTATGGTTAGACACCTCCGTTTTTTTAGAAATATGGTTGGTGAAAAATCATCCAGTGATTGTCACGGTTTTCACCACGAACCATACCTTTTTTTTTATCACTTGTCTCCAATTGTTTACTGGTTACAACACATATTTGCCGCTATAAACAACCACTATAAACACCAGAGAAATTTCTGATTTCTCCAATACTCGAGGGTTAGTAAACCCTTACTAATGCGACTAATGGTTTTTGATGGTCATACGGTCATACGATATATCACCATTTTTGGTATTTTAGAATAAGCAACTAAAGTTGTTGGATTGCTACCCACATGGGGAAGGAGGATATTGGAAATACTGGGGAAAATTCATGGGAACTAAAATATACTATGTAAACTGAAAATTATACAATATATTATAACTTATGTATCTGGAAAACATTGAGGAATGGGTAGTATACCTATGGCCAATAGCGAAGACTGGCCAGAAAATGAATCGTCAGTGGATGGTTCTGTGGGGGTAGACTATCACCATGGGAAATCCACACTGGATGATAGTCGTATGGAGGGAGCGATTCGGAGCGTATTTGGGGTATCTATATTCCCAACAATTTAGCCATGGGGAGCCAGTTGGAGCTATGCATGGGGTGTTTCCCAACCACATGATACTGTCAGAAAGTTTGAATTTTTATTTTTACACTTGATTTATGATGATTAACATATAATATACAGTATTCATTGCTTCGACAATAGTTCCAAACTATTTGGTATCATTACAGTTGCTTAGATAATTGTTTGCTTCATCCTGAGATGGTGGTTAGAGAATTGAAACTACCAACTATGATATGGTTAGTTTGCTAATAATTACAGGATATTCCCCTTTTCATAGTTGATATTCTACCCCAATCCCCAATGATCTTAATATGGTTCGATGGTCAATAGCGAAACTATTTGGGATCAGCTATGATATGGTTAGATTGTGAATAACTACCCCAGTTCTCCAGATTTTCGTTGGTGATATTGATGATAAGCAATTATATCAGAAAACATATATATATATATACGTATATATATATACACACTATATATATATAGATAGATAGATAGAGTATTATCATCCCTATCAGATAGGGACCTGAGTCCAAGGTTCCCGGCACCTGAGTCCATACTTTGATAGCGCATCCCTGAAAATGTCTGAAAGATATCTGGTTGGCTAAGATCCCTAAGAACCAACCATATTAAACAGTATATATATATGTATGTATTTATACAAATCACCAACACTATGACAAACTATCATCCCTATGAAATATATTATCCCTATGAAATACATAGATTATCCGAATGATTATCCCATATCATCCCTATAAAAATCACCAACTTTTCATCATAGGACATATATACATATATATATAGATTTCCATTATATATATATATTGTATATATTGTTTATATGATATGTATCCCTATAAAAATTACCAACTTTCCAAGTCATGTCCAATGATCCCTACTTTTCCAGGACTGCGGCGGCTTTTGCACCGCCTCCTGGAGCTCCACGTTGGCTCCGCGCAGCTTCCACGCGCGCTTCCGCAGCTCGCGGGAGGCGCGGCAGGCCATGGAAGCGCTAGGGAAACTGCAACTGCTGAGGGAGGCCTGTGGGTTTGATGGAAGTCACCTGGGAAATCCTGGGAAAATGATGGAAACTCTGGGAAAACCTGGGAAAATGATGGAAATTTTGGGGAAAACTCTTGGATCTGGGAAAAACCATGCACATTGGGGAAGTCAAGGACAATTCTTGAAAAAATGAGAGTGAACTTCGTCACTTTTTTGTTTTCGAGATGGGGTTGAAGGCTTCAAGGATTGTTTTGAATCCAAAATGGATCTTTAGAGCGGAGTTTTGTTGATCTAAAATGGATTTACAGATTGGTAGGCTTTTTGATGGTTGTTGAGTTTTAGATCGTTTTCGGATGTTTGGGCAATATTTGATAATGAATACTGTAGATCCTCTAGGGATGGGTTAACGTTTCCCTTATCTAGAATTGCTATTCTCTAAGATGCCCATTCGAGTCTTCACAAAGAATATGAATGTAATTACATGCATATCATATAATAATTACATATTTGATTAGAGATTGCGTGTATATATATGATTATATATGTCTATATATATATACATCTATACATATAGAATGTTATAGAAATACATATAATAAATATACATCTCTGCGTGTTTTCATAAAACATCTCGCCCAACATCGCCTTCGTCTCGTTTTTTTCGCCTTCGCAGGATGGCAGCTGTGCGGTGGCACAGCTGTGCGGTCTGACTCCGCTGAGTGTGCGGATGCCGAGCACGGGATCGTAATAGATACCATCTGGTAAACTAACTGTTTGCTATTGAAAATGGCCATAGAAATAGTTGATTTACCCATTGAACTGGTAAACTAACTGTTTGCTATTTAAAATGGCCATAGAAATATTTGATTTACCCACTAAACATTGTGATTTTCCATAGTTATGTTAGTTTGCCAGAGGGTATCTAGAAGTATTAATGTGGTTAAAACGATGCCATAAACCAGCCATGACTGGGAATGGTCAACATGCTACCTATAAAAATGGTGATGACTGGGGGATGGTTTATTATTGTTTTACCCACATGAATGGAATATGAATATAATATATATATATATTGTATATGGTTCATGATGTACATCATAATGTACATATATCGCTATAATCTGTTATATATTTAATGGAATATGAATGGAATATGTATGGAAAATGATCAAATGGCAACAGGCCCGAAATCACGCTTCGTTTTTACCGTCACTGGAGGATGGTCGATAATTAGGGATTCATATGACCATTACTGGTTGGTGGTTTGGAAATTAATGGTTAATATATGTTAATATTCTTAATGGTTCATGGATTATGGAAAATGGATGAGTTAATAGATAATGGTTAATGGATAATCTGCTTGGTGGTTTGGAACCATGGAATTTTATGACTTTCCCATCATATTGGGAATAATGATCCCAATTGACGAAGTCAGATTTTTCTGAGGGGTAGGTCAACCATCAACCAGATATATCATATTATAATAACAATCCATTAACCATCCATTGACCATCCATTAACCACCATTAACCATTGTAAACCATTGTAAACCATTGTAAACCATTGTAAACCATTGTAAACCATTGTAAACCATTGTAAACCATTGTAAACCATTGTAAACCATTGTAAACCATTGTAAACCATTGTAAACCATATTTTTCAGAGGGGTTGGTAGGTCAGGATGATCATTCATGGGAAACAATGACTCCCCTTGTAACTTGACCTAGAACTTGACTAGCTAGATGGCTTGGGTTTCATGTCCCTGGGGATCAAGGAGATTTTCCGCCACAAAATCCCCAAGAGTTGGGTTTTTCACGCTGAAAAACGTGACATTTACCAAGCCCTGTAGTATTATAGATGGTTAATAAACCAACTCAAAATGGAACTGAATGGCTCAGAGAATTGCGACGTAATGGCCATTCAATGTGGATTTAACCAAGACCAATGGGGATTAAATGGGATATTCTTAGGGATAATTGGATATATAATCAGCAATATGACACTGCAATTTGTTGTCATTTTTCAAACCAAAACTAAATATGCACAGGGGGTTTAGCCAACAATAATGACGTGGGTCTGTCCAACAACCGGGGGGGACACCCTAATTTATCGCATGTTTTGTAAGGACATGATCATGATGATCACTGATCACTCATCAAACTTTTGGTTATATAACCTTTTTCTTTTTTGGACAACTCTTGTAAATCATATGCAACCGCTAGAAGTTAAACTAACTGAGCAGGGGAGCTGGAATCAAGGTTTTCTTGCTTAAGGCCTCATCTTCTGAAGCATTTATAGATTAATCTTCATAATCTAGAAACCTCAACTTGCCCTCCTGTAAACCAACATAGCCATGGAAAATCACCATCTTGACCTGTGAATCATCTATAACTCTATAACTGATCCATTTTCAATGGGGAAATCACGGAGCATCGGATCCCCTACATTATATGGGGGTACCCCAATAGCTGGATGGGACTTATCAAGGAACATCCCAAACAAAAATGGATGATGAACAGGGGTACCCCCATGACTAAGGAAACCTCCATAAATATTGTATACCCCCATGGTATATTCCCATGATCTTCCCTCAAAATCCTTTGGGATGCGCAGCATCGCAGCATCCCCGAGGCCTTCGTCTTGCCCCCCGAGATGTCTCTCCCGGAACGACTGCAACGGGACTTGGAGCTTTCGGCGGAGGCGGTTCCGGGTGAAACGTGCCATAGAAAAAAATACGACCTGGATTGATTCGTGATTATAGGACTTATTAACATATTTAAGGGCTGCCGCCCCCTGCCGCCGACCCCGGAAGAAGTCATGTTGAGAAGGTCATGTAGGGAAAGAGTCATGGAAGAAATATGAAACATATGTAGTTGGCGTTATATATATATACCAGGACTTTGTCCTTGGAGGTAAATACATATAGATATCATATGTATCTCTATGTATATATATATAGATACATCGAAACAGTAACTAGCCTGCCGGACAGGCAGTGTCCCGAACAGGGACGTTGTTTTTTTGTAGTCCAGGACTTTGTCCTTGGAGTTATATATATATATATACACCAGGACTTTGTCTTTGGAGTGTATATATGCATATATATATACCAGGACTTTGTCCTCGGAGGTAAATATGTATATATACATAGATAAATGTACTGATTGTATTGTAATGTAATGTAATGTAATATGCATGTATATATAAACAATGAGTATTGAAAGAAAAAATAGACTACGTACTTAACTACATATGTATCGATATCTATATATATATACATCGAAACAGTAACTAGCCTGCCGGACATGCCGGACAGGCAGTGTCCCGAACAGGGACGTTTTTTTTTCTGTAGTCCAGGACTTTGTCCTTGGAGTTATTTATATATATCTTGAAATCTATATACCAGGACTTTGTCCTTGGAGTTATTAATATATATATATATACCAGGACTTTGTCCTCGGAGGTAAATACGTATATATACATATGTATATATATATATATAGTCCAGGACCCTGTCCTTGGAGTTATGTATACATAAATATATGGACTAGGGTCTTGTTCTTGGAGTGACGTATGTATATATATGTCTATATTATAGGACTGTGGTCTTGGAGTGAAATATATGTGTAGAGAGAAGAGGAGAGCCATGTAGAAGAGAGTCATGTAGAGAAGGGTCACGTACAGAAGAGGCATGGAGAGGAGAATCATGGAGAGGAGAATCATCTAGAGAAGTGAGAGGAGAGTCAGGTAGAGGAGAGTTATGTAGGGGAGAGTCATGCAGAGGAGAGTCATGTAGAGAAGGGTCGTGTAGATAAGAGCATGTAGAGGAGAATCATTTAGAGGAGAGACGTGTAGAGGAGAGTGATATAGAGGAGAGCCGTGTGGAGGAGAGTGACTTAGGGGAGAATTATGTAGAGGATGTAGAGGAGAGTCATGTAGAGGAGAGGCATGTAGAAATCAGTCAGGTGGAGGAGAGTCATGTAGAGGAGAGTCATGTACAGGTGGGTCTTATAGAGGAGAGTCCATGTAGAGAAGAGTCATGTAGAGGAGAGTGATGTAGAGGAGAGTCATGTAGATATATATATATATATAGATACATCGAAACAGTAACTAGCCTGCCGGACAGGCAGTGTCGTGAACAGGGACGTTTTTTCTTTGTAGTCCAGGTATACATGGAAAATTGTACTGTTTGTATTGTAATGTAATATGTATGTGTATAGAAATATATGAGTATTGAATAGTAGTGAAAGAAAAAATATACTACGTACGTAACGACATATGTATCTGTATATATATATAGATACATCGAAACAGTAACTAGTCTGCCGGACAGGCCGTGTCCGGAAGAGGGCCTTTTTTTTGTCTGTAGTCCGGGACTTTGTCCTTGGAGTTATATATATATATATACCAGGACTTTGTCCTCGGAGGTGAAGACGTATAACAGGGTCCTTGGAGTTATGTATACATAAATATATGGATTAGGGTCTTGTTCTTGAAGTGACGAATGTATATATATTAAAGTCATAGAAAGGAATGATTGTGGCTCGTTTTTCTTCCCGTTGCTTCTGCTCCTGCGACACGTTCTGGGAAAACACCATGGCAGTAAAGGACAGAGAAGCATCAAACTTGCACCCTGAAAATGCTGAACGTAACTTCTGAAAGCCATAGACAAGAATGATTTGAGCTCTTTTTGTTTTTCCTGCCGCTGCTGCTGCTGCTTCTCCTGCTACACCTTCTGTGCAAAAAGCACCTCGCGGATGGCAGTAAAGGACAGAGAAGCATCAAACTTGCACCCCGAAAATGCCGAACGTAACGTCTGAAACCCATTGAAAAGAATGATTTTAGTTTCATTCCTTTTGCTGGTATACGTTTTGTTGAAAAGGCACCTCGCGGATGGGAAAACACAATGGCAGTGAAGGACGGAGAAGCCCAAAAATGGTACCCTGAAAATGCTTAACGTAACTTCTGAAACCCAAAGAAAAGAATGATTTGAACTCCTTGTTTCTGCTGCTGCTGCTGCTGCTCCTGCTACACTTTCTGTTCCTCCTGCTGCTCCTGTTCCTGCTACACGTTCTGGGGAAACACCATGGCAGTAAAGGACAGAGAAGCATCAAACTTGCACCCCGAAAATGGCCAACGTAACGTCTGAAACCCATAAAAAAGAATGGTCTTAGCGCTTTTTTCCTCTTGCTGCTGCTGCTGTTCCTGCTACACCTTCTGTTCAAGAAGCACCTCCCAGATAGGAAAACACCATGGCAGTAAAGGAGGGAAAAGCTTCAAAATTGTACCCCGAAAATATCTAACGCAACTTCTGAAACCCATAGAAAAGAATGATTTTAGCTCCTTTTTCCTCCTGCTGCTGCTGCTGCTCCTGCTACACCGTCCGTTCAACAAGGGCCTCCCGGATAGGAAACCACCATGGCAGTGAAGGACGGAAAAACCGCAAAATTCTATCCCGAAAGTGCCTAACGGAACTTCGAAAACCCAGAGAGAAGAATGATGTTGGCTCCTTTTTCCGCCTGCTGCTCCTGCTCCTGCTACACGGTCTGGGAAACTACCATGGCAGTAAAGGACAGAGAAGATGAAACTTGCACCCCGAAAATGACCAACGTAACGTTTGAAACCCAGGGAAATGAATGTGATTCTAACTACCGGTGATTCTGCCTCGAACTTGAAACTCTGGGATGCGGCCTCGACCGAAAAAATCTGGGTGGGAAGGGCAACCCAAGGAGCCCCACGTACCTCGAGGAGACTCCGGGAAGGACCCCCCACCGGTAAAAGAAAAACCCCGGAGTCGATGAATCGACGTACGTGACCGGTGGGAGGGGGACCCAATAGGGTCCCCCGGGAAAGGGTCGTTGTTGCTGTTGCTGTTGCTGTTGCTGTTGCTGTTGCTGTTGTTGTTGTTGGTGGTGGTGGTGGTGTTGTTGTTGTGGTTGTTGTTGTTGTTGTTGTGGTTGTGTTGTTGCTGTTGCTGTTGCTGTTGCTGTTGCTGTTGCTGTTGTTGTTGTTGTTGTTGTTGTTGTTGTTGTTGTTGTTGTTGTTGTTGTTGTTGTTGTTGTTTTTGTTGTTGTTGTCGTCGTGGCCCCTTCTGAAATCCTAGAGCATCCTAGTAGATAATCTTATAGAATCCTAGACTATAGAGAATAATCCTATAGAATCTAGCTTGCTTCTCTTCTCTTGGCGGACCCTGTCGCAGCACCAAAACACCATGGCAGCGAAGGACGGATCGGGCCCGCGGCCGGCAGCCCATGGTTCCAAACGTTGCTTTCTGAACTCCCTAGAAACTAGCTCCAAACTTGGACTTTGCCCGCCCTTCATCGGCCACCTGCCAGCTTGCTTGTGTTCTCTTGGCGGACCCTGTCGCAGCACCAAAACACCATGGCAGCGAAGGACGGATCGGGCCCGCGGCCGGCAGCCCATGGTTCCAAACGTTGCTTTCTGAACTCCCTAGAAACTAGCTCCAAACTTGGACTTTGCCCGCCCTTCATCGGCCACCTGCCAGCTTGCTTGTCTTCTCTTGGCGGACCCTGTCGCATCAAAACACCATGGCAGCGAAGGACGGATGGGCCCGCGGCCGGCAGCCCATGCATCAAACGTTGATTTCTGAACTCCCTAGAAACCTAGCTCCAAACTTGGACTTTGCCCGCCCTTCATCGGCCACCTGCCAGCTTGCCTTCTCCCTGTCGCAGTTGCCTCTTGGATGACTTTGCCCATCTCTCTCTTGGACCGGACCCTGGCAGCACCAAAACACCATGGCAGCGAAGGACGGATCGGGCCCGCGGGCCGGCAGCCCATGGTTCCAAACGTTGCTTTCTGAACTCCCTAGAAACTAGCTCCAAACTTGGACTTTGCCCGCCCTTCATCGGCCACCTGCCAGCTTGCTTGTTTTCTCTTGGCGGACCCTGTCGCAGCACCAAAACACCATGGCAGCGAAGGACGGATCGGGCCCGCGGCCGGCAGCCCATGGTGCCAAACGTTGCTTTCGGAACTCCCTAGAAACTAGCTCCAAACTTGGACTTTGCCTGCCCTTCATCGGCCACCTGCCAGCTTGCTTCTCTTCTGTTGGCGGACCCTGTCGCAGCACCAAAACACTATGGCAGCGAAGGACGGATCGGGCCCGCGGCCGGCAGCCCATGGTGCCAAACGTTGCTTTCTGAACTCCCTAGAAACTAGCTCCAAATTTGGACTTTGCCCGCCCTTCATCGGCCACCTGCCAGCTTGCTTGTCTTCTCTTGGCGGACCCTGTCGCAGCACCAAAACACCATGGCAGCGAAGGACGGATCGGGCCCGCGGCCGGCAGCCCATGGTGCCAAACGTTGCTTTCTGAACTCCCTACTTGGATGACCGGCGTGGTTGTTATGTAGATAGTGTTCCATAGCGTACTTAGTAAGTCCTTCGTAACATGCATTAACCTAGTTTGTAAGTTGTTGTAAGTCTTATAAGTCAGCCTGGTTTACATACTAAGTAGCCAGCGCTAGGATAACTACTTACTTTGTGCGCCATCAAGTTAGTACCTACTTATGCTCTTTAAACTATAAGTTCAATATGTATGGTTGGCAAAGAAAGGAAGTAGTTAATATCTACTATAAGTATACGTATGGCTTACTTATAAAATCGTTTTGGCGTACTTATAAGTGTGCCTTTGGCCTACTTAGCAAGCTCGCCCCGGCCTACTTAGTAAGCTCGCCCCGGCCTACTTAGTAAGCTCGCCCCGGCCTACTTAGTAAGTCCGCCACAGCCTACTTAGTAAGTCCACCAAGCCTGGGAAAAATTATGATCTTGACTCAACCGTACTGAATACCTTAAAAAAAAGACTGGCCAACATTAAAAAACTATGGCTGATGAAATTGATGGTTAGCATTTTTTTTTGGTGAAGGGACGTTTCTGTTTAGGCAGAATAAAAAAACACAACACATTTTTTTGATATGGTTTGCATTTTATTCAGCAAGAGGCGCTGAAAACATTTTTTTTCTCAAAAAATGTTGCTTCGAATTTGGCGTCAGCATCCTCTGTGTTTTGGGGATGTGGTTTCAAGAACTGAGAGATGCATATTGTATGATGGTCGACCTTTTGATTTGAGAACATATAGGTTAGAAACTGAGGCAGGTTCAAAACTAACGCAGTTGGGTCTGATGGCTCGCTGCCGACAAATCAGACAACAGCAATCTTTTGCTGGAATCAACTTGCGAAGTTATATTGCGCCCAGAAAGCATCAGCGCAACACGTTTTTCTGCACTACAGTTCTTTTTTTGGGGGTTTTGAAGCAATGATTCCACCGCTGGTCCTATAGGGCGGCAAGGATTGAAAAGAATGCGCTGTACCAGCATCAACACGGCAATCTGCAGGTCAAGAACCCTGCATCTCCAAAATTTTGTGCATGTTTTTTTTTGATTTTCGAGTGGCAAAACAGTCAAGTGGTGCAAAGCCGCCCCCAGTGCCAAAAATTATAACATGTTCTTGGCGCATTTTTTCAGCAAACAAGAGAACACGATCAACAACCACAGAGTCACACAAGTGTTTGAAAATGCACTTTTGAAAACACTTGCAGCTATATAGGCAGTGCCGAGCAGTTCACTCACAAATAGTTGATTCAGGTAGTCAGTCTTAATGATACATATTGAAATTTGAAAATGAATTTCACATTCACTGGAAGTGTAGATCGATGTTTCAGCTGCCTTGGATTTCGGTTTTGAAGAAAAAAATCTATACAGGGCCACTGAATTTTTGCCGTCCACTGATCGTGTAATGTCAGTTTACATGTTGTGTTTATGGCCACGTGAGTAATCTTAAAATGCCAAAATGGTTAAAGGCTACGACTGAAACTTATGCATTGGATTTATTGGATTGATAGAGAGCTCTGATCATCGACCAATCTGGTTTATACCTTGATTCTGGAGTTTCACAGCGCCGCTCCGCCATGTGGAAGCTGAACATCCAGTCCATCAAGGCACATAGTATACAAAAATGTTGTGGTGTCTCATTGGATACATCTGCGAGTGTCATGAAAGAGGCCATCAAAAGGAAGTGATCAAACATGAATGTGAGGCCATATGCCACCAGAATAAATTAACATACCTTTGAAATGCGGCTATCAACCATGTCAATGCATATATACAAAGGCAAAACTGGTCATGAAACATTATATGTAAGGGTTCAGTGTTCAACGGTTAACTGCAAAACTATATATATAGTTGGCTTCCAGGTGATGGAAACGCTTCTGTTGGAAGACGACGCCAAGTTGGAGCAGGCAAGGGCCGGACGTGCAAAAACGATATGTTGGGCGACTGCTCGCATGTACAGATTAAGTTCTGGTTGAGCATGGCAAAGTTGACAGTTACATGCATGTGGTTTCTGAATCATGGCAAACACAGTTGAAGAAGCATGTTTCAGATGTCTTGTTGAGAGTCAACATTGAGCAAAAGGGCCACAGATCTCAAATTCCTGAGTAAGGATCCGTTTTGCGCCTATAAGTTCGCTGGGCTCCAAAAGAGCTCGCGTGCAACTATCGGCATACTGCATGTCTCATGCAAACCCAGCCTGCCGAATCAAAGAGTTATTCAGCTGCTTCCACGGTGACTTGAGCTCAAGCAAGTGAAGGACATGTCAAGAATCCCAATTGAGAATAATGCATGCAGACAAGTATAACGCAGTATAGAATGACAATAAGGAGCATTATGCAAATCGATGCAAAAAGGAATTTCAAAGGGGGCAAAATACCGTACAATAAACCCTTACAGATTTTGCCATTGTGATCGAAGATGGAGCAAGTGCACAAGGACAAGCTGAGAGAGTTCGTGGCTCGTAGCAGCGGATCTAAAGGCGAAGGACTACTGACAGAGATGAACAAGCTCATGGACTACCTGTTCGAGCACAACTTGGCGTACCGCACAACTGTGCGGTGCAGTGTGGTGGGGGTCCACCCCCAAAACAGGGACGGTATGGGCGTCTCCTGCCATCATGTTGCCGAGTTGATTAAGAGCATCCATGCTCTGGGGTTCGACCCAAGCAAAGTCAACATGCTTCTGGTCGAGATGTGGCCAGGCACCCCAGAAACTGCAAAGGCGATACAGTTCAATGACAGGATGGCTATGGTATCCAGTGGCCGTCTCCCATCAGTTGCATGTGGTGGCCCTTTGCGGTACTGCACAATACAAGGTTCACATACCAATATGGCGTGCAGGTCGCTCCTCTATGGTGCTGCCAGTGATGATCCAGCTTTGACCGACTCCTCAGGCAAATTATCGATAGACCGCATTGGAAGCCAGTGGGCAGCAGCCATCAAGAATGGCATGGAATGCACAGTTTTGACCAGCGCTGTTGCCACAGCCAACCCTGACATCATCAGTTTGCTGCAGGCTTCGGGCAATGCAGTCCAGCAAATCAGCAAGGAGGAAGATGAGATCCAAGTCAGCAACCGGATCATCCAAACCATCAACTCCTACCAGAGCTTGCATGGAAAGACGCCTTTGTGGTCAGACATTAGCAACCAAGTTTTGAGGAGCCAACCGAAATGCAAAGAGGCTGCCCCAAGCATCTTCTTGTTCTCTTTGAAATATTCAGCAGGGGATGCCTTTTGGACAGAGACCGAATCATATATTCGTGCTCATGGGCTTTCTCGAAATCTGGGATTGGAGACATGGACAAACTTGTCTACAGACCTGAAGGGTGATGCCAGGGTTTGGTATCGACACATGCTGCTGAAGTTTGCTTTCTGCAACGCAGAGCGAGTTCTTTCAGCCAGTGATGTTCCTTGAATTGTGCTGGTTTTTCTTTTTCTCCAGAAATGACTTCTTTTTGACAATCACAGGCATTGAGATAATGGCCGGTTATTGTTATAACTTTTGACAGATCTATGTATATACATATCTATTGTTTGTCCAGATGTATGGCATGAAGATGTTTGCGCGCGCTTGCCTCTTCAGGCCAAGAAAGCTTTGAGCAACAAAGAGCTCTTGAAGGAAGCGGTCAACCTGGTCAAAGTAGCAGCCCAGTGGAAGAACATTGCTCAGACATTGTGCGCTGATGAGAAGAAAAAACTTGCCATGAAGAGTCACATGGGACACTTGGAGGTCCATTTGATTTCCATTTTGCTGGACCGAAAGAAACGCCAATATGAAACCATGGGCCAGGCTGCCAAGGAATGCATGGCTGAGTTGGTGACGGAGACAGGGGCTACAATTCCAACACTGCCAGATGAGTGGTCAGATTCACCACAAGACGGAAGCTCAAAGCCGACGAAGGATGATCGCCCAAAGGGTCCAGCTCGTTTGGCTCAGCACAAGTACGCTGCATCTGGAGCTTTGGAGAATGTGGAAGAAGTTCTGGCTTCAAAGGGCTTCCAACCGGGCATGCAAGCCACACGAGGAGATGTGACATGCACGATCAGGAAAATCACCACATCAGACGTGGAGATCCTACTGGACGACCAGACGATCAAGGTGGTGTCAGCCTCTTCATTCCTCAATGGGGAATGGAAACTGAACAGCAAAACCAGCAAGGAGCAAGAGGAAGTCGAATGGACTTCAGACCACCAGCCACGTCCATTGAGATGCAGCTTCAAGTCTTGAAGGCCAAGACTATGGTGGCTTGTTGGGATCAGATGCAAACAGCCAAGTGCAAAGATGCCTTGAACTCGCTCTCTGTTTTCAAAGGACCAAGATCAGTGACAACCAGTAAGACCTGGGCTCCAAAAAAAATGGAGATCCCCTGTGCAACCAACAGAGTGACCACATGCGAAATTGGGAAGGAAGGCCAGAATGAGTTGGTCATTGGTGCCTACAAGAATTTCTACGTGTGCCTTTCTCCTGCGACCAAAATGGGGACCTCGGAGGGCCCATCAGGCTGTTGCAACCCCTTTTGGATGATCCCAAAGTCTCTGGAACCTGATGAGGCGAATGTTGAGGCGTGCAAGGATGTTTGATTATATGAGACTTACATATTATACTAACTTCTATATGTGGCTGTGTCTTGACCTCTTGATTGTTTGTGCCTGAAAGCTTTTGTTGCCTTCAAGTTTATCACTTTCCCAACTTGTAGACTTCAAACGCAGGTGCACCCAAACATGGACGTCCTGAAGAAGACGAAATTGAGCCTTGAGCGCTCAATCACTCTTCCGGTTATCCGGAATGTGGGCAAGCTTGAGAAGGAGACGTGCCTGACGATGATCGCGATGAAGCGGAACAAGGAACAGGAGGTGGAACCGCTGAGGGAGCCGCCACCCAAGCGACGCCGGGAGAAAGGTTCATGAGCTGGGTGGTTCAAAAGGGCTGGGCATTTTCTCGCCCTTCTTTTGCATACAGACCAGCGCCTGTCAGCGCGATTCTCCACGCAAAGAGTGAAAATAAAATGCGGCCAGTGATCGTTGAGGCTTACCATGGTTCAGGTTGCATATATTATATAGACTGCAACTCCCCGTGGGCAAAATCTGCTGAGGTCAGAGCCAACATCACTTCAGAGTGCGGTGTCCCAGAGCCATCAGATGCTGCACCTGCCATATATACTTGCTCTGTCCTGTAGAACTCTGTGCACCCATGGAGGCTGCTGTGCTTTTTCCAAAAGCTCGCAGCTCGCATGCTACTTTCATGACTGCAGGTTTTATGTGTGATCTCAGTGCAGCTGCATGCGTACAAACACATGCAGAAGGAAAGGGTTAAGATTTGAAACTGGCCACACATGCATTCGTACCTGGAGAGGTCAACAGGACATATAGTGCTCCCAGGTCATATGGGCGAACTGATCATGCTTTGCATGGCTATGTGGAAGAGGTTGCAACATACTTAAGAGTATTTAGGACCTGGGCCATGGCGGATGGTGCACACGCAGAGACGGAGCCCGAAGGGATTGAAGAAGCGAAGGAAGAGCAAGATGTTGGCAGCTTGCCGCTGGTGATTGAGACGGTCACCAGGGTGCAGTTGGGTGCTCGGCGGCCTTGGTTCCCTCAGTGTCAGGAAGTGGACGGCCGAACCTTCGTGACCCTCACGAAGAATGACCCAGGCCTTTGCTTCCTCGTGACAGGAAAGGGTCAAAACCGACACCAGAAAAGAGACCCTCACAGCCTCAACGTCCAGTGGTGGGACGATGCAAGACGCATGCGGCAAGCCGCATGTAGTGCTTTGGTGAAGAAGCACATGCTCAGTGCATTGCAGGAAGGGGAAGCTCCCCCACGAATTCGCCACCCGCGCGAAGATGATAAGTGGGTGATATCGCGTTTGGTGGTCGTGGACTTCCCGGAGGTGGAGGCCTTTGGCATGGCAGCCCGAGAGATGACCATGTTATGGTCCATCAGAAGCCGTGACCTGGACGTGGAGCTGGAGGAAGGCAATCTGCGGTACATCATCGCAGCGTTGTCAGCTTCGGATGCTGTAGTGAAAGCGGAGGTGGCTGCAGAACCAAAGGAGATGGCATCTCCGAGACGAAAAAGGCGAAGGCTGAAGAAGCGCCCGAGCGCAGAAGAGGGTGGCGAGAAAGCCGAGGAGGGCTGAAGCAAGTGGCCTGCGTGAATTGGCTTGCCAAATCACACACGACTGCTGCGTGAGAAAGGGCATGCCAATAGATCTTCTTTAGCAAAGACTGGTGAGCTTCTGCTGGACAAGAAAATAGCTGCTCCTCCCTCCAAGTGTTGTTCAAACGATTTGCCACTTGCATGTTGAAGCACAAGATGCATTTCACATGATGCTGCGAGTTCATTGCATTCACTTTCAATTAAGTTCTCTCCAAAAGATCTATCACTTGCTTTTTTTATTCGTTTGTGATTGCTGTCGCTACATTGGCATCCAAATGTTGTCATGTCAACAAGGTCCATGAGGTTGCCGATTGTGCTTCTGTATAGCCGTATTCAAAACAGTTCAGCAAGAATCGTTCAAGTCGTGCGCTTCCTGCTTGACAACATCATGCCGCGTGTGTTGGAGCGCTCCATCAGCTCTGGTGACGATTCCTGCAGGGTCATTTGGTCCTGCTCTTGGGTCATGGACGATGGTCTTATTAAGTGGCGTGTTGAACGCCTTGATGGCTCGGTACGTTTGAGACTTGTTTATGAACACAATTTTACTCCGGAAAATTGTTCCATTTCATATGGGAAAACGTTGTTCGATATTTTTGATGTGTGCTTATATGATCCCTTTCCAGTCGACCTTCCAGTGGTGATGTGTTTGTTTGCCCAGGATCCCTTTCAACGATGTCGCAGCAACCTGGGCCATGGAGGATGCTGAGAAGATTCGTATCAAGCAGCTTCTTGAGGCCAAAGTCACGCCTGAGCCTCCGTGAGATATGGCAGCATGAGGGCATGAAAAAAAACAATTCCGTCACCGCTTCTTGTGCCAGCACTTGCAATTTTCAGTCTCACTGCCAATCATGCCGTGCATCTTTTGCATTTGTATTGTTGTTTTCGAGTTTTGCAGGAAACTTCATATCCTTATAGGTCACATCTGGAACATACTGGGCCTTGAGCCATTGTGTGTCGGCGGGTTTCCATTGCTTTGAGTTGTCATCTTTGACTCCATTGAAGACATCATGCTGTGCATGCTGATGCACGCATGAAAATCATGACGTCTATGCACTTCAGTGATTGGCTCAGGCTTGCAAGTTTCAACCAGTAAGTTCAACCTTTTGCTGCCCGATGGCTGTGAAGGGATCGCCGGCGGCCAAGAAGGTGTTGACCAAGAAGGCTGCAATGAAGGTGCCAGCCAAGAAGGCGGCAATGAAGAAGATGCCAGCGAAGAAGGCGGCAATGAAGAAGATGCCAGCCAAGAAGGCGGCAATGAAGAAGCACGCCATGAAATCTATGAAGATGTCCACGAGCCCATGGAATCGGATGACAGAGAAGAAGATGCGAGCAGACGATGAGAAGGAACCTGCCAAGCAGCGTCGGTTTATGTACTCCGTCATTCGTATGAGTGCGAAGGAGAAGAAGCGTGTCTGGAACGAAGACATGGATGAATGTGTGCAGGAATGGGTGGAGGTTCTGAGCTACAACAAGAGCTTTCGCCAACCACCGCCATGCCCACGCAAAAAGTGGATCCAGGGCTGTATGGAGGAACGTGGATGGCTGCTGTTGAAGGTGAAGCTGGCGCACAAGCCAAGTGGATGGCTGAAGATTGAGGCACATCAGCTGCCGCATTTGTAGGGCAAGTTGGATGAGTGATGCTTCTGAGAGGAGTTTGAAAAACAGCATTGCCAGTCTTAGGTGGTCCAAGCATCGTTGATATTCGTGCGTTCAAGGTTCATAAGTTCGATATTTGTTTCAGTCGTTGGTTCAAACCAATTCTTGGAGTGTGATTCAAATGTCTCACGATAGTCATTCTACGCTGTTGGGCCTTGGCTGTTGCTTTGCTGCGGTTTTTGAATGACTTTTGCTGAAAAACCGCTATACAGGTGTCGTTGGAGATGAAAACGGGTTCAAATTGGGATTTTTGACTAGAAAAAAAGATAGCTCTTTGGTCAGTATGCATGTCTTTGATGCCGGGTCGTTCTCTTTTCATGGAAAGCATGTGTGTAGCATTTCCGCAAGGTTTCAGGCATCCAAGACGTTTGAGCGTGCTGGGTTGCTGTGACTCGCACGTGTCAGATTCGACGACGAGAGTCAAGCTTTCAATGTGCTAGGTGCTGCCACCAATCCCGCGCAGGCACTATGACAACATTTCAGAGGAAAGTGCATGCGAGCAATTGCCCAGCATGCTTGGTGTGAAGCTTGTACCAAACAACGCACTTACTATATGTCTGCCAGGTCACTTGAAGCCACCATGACTGCGTGGGAACTTAGTGGAAGTGAAGCTATGTAGATAGGACGGACTCTTGGACACATTTGAAGGCTACATACTGTGCCGGGCAATTTGCTCGCACAGCTGCATATACAATGGAACTTTTCATGGACAGATGCAACAATGAGAAGTTTCTCATACTCATGTATCAGGGGGTTGATTGTGGGGATAGATGTGAGTTTCATGGCACTGATGCATGAATCAAGGCATGATGTAAGAGCAATAAGACATGGCTGAGATGGCTGGGAGGTGCTGGACATGGATTTGAACACAACAGCTTGACATGTGTGGGCGCAGCCTTAAGAAGAACATAAACAGTATAGGACGCAATGTGAGGAAGGTGCAAATTTCGTTACCTTCTGTGGGAGCTGGGTCAACTGGATCGCTTTCCATGGTTCAGTCATTCCACAATCTCTCCAGGTTGCATATATTATATATTGCAACTGCCCATGGGCAAAATCTGCTGAGGTCAGAGCCAACATCACTTCAGAGCGCACAGCCCAGAGCCATCAGATGCTGCACCTGCCATATACAAGCTGGTAAAGGTTGACGGTGGTGATGTGTTGCTGGTTCTTGAAACGATTTGGAGCAAGACACCTTAGAGACATAAATTGACCAAACATGCAGGGTCATCAATCACTTGGCACCATACTGACGTGTCTTGTAGCGTGTAGCTCAATTTGTGATCTCTCCATCCAGTGTTGCATCGGCCGGCACCAGTGACATGGCAGCCATCTGGATTTACCCAGAAGGAATTGTGATTGAGCTGGCCGAAGTCACGAAGTCCCCGGTGTTGAAGTTGCTTGGATTAA